ACGCCGTGATACGCCACTCACTTGAGGAAAAATGGACCCGCGTAATTGAACATCACGCTGCACAGAGTCAGAAGAAAATCCATGCTAAAGGTAACGAGTTAACCAGGCGCATTGCAGGAAGCGGCAAAGTTACATGATGTCGAAAGAGTTGGCAGCCCATAGTTTCCTCAGGAGGGTCTTTTGCCTAAAGCGGGAGCATCAGCCGGGCTTTAGAGACAGGTATGAAGGGACACACGGAAGACTGCTGAATTTGATGAAGATGGGCCGAGATTGAATATTAGGGCTTAGCTCCCAGATGTCCTTCTCGTTCAACGTTGTGTCCCGACCCTACTCCGAATCAGTGGATGTTGCATGAGGGGGATGGAGCAGACGCACGCGCTTGACTAGTGGGTAGACCCATCGGAACTATTCAAATCGTCAGACAACGCCGGAGTCGGGAGAGCAAAGAACGCACAGAAACCCAGCCCCACAGGTTTGTGTAATCCTCGGGCGAGACGCTCGACCCCTAGAAGGAGATTAGGCATGCCGCTGGAAAAGAATTAACGAGACTCACGATGTCCTCCTTTTTAACCAAATGCGAAGGCAATGCCAACGGCATCCCCATAATGACCAAGACGAGGCCCACCGACAGCGCCAGGTTCACAGACAGGCCGACCAACACGAGCGTGCCGGGTAAGGGCGCGCCGTAGGCATTGTGCTGGAACAAGTATCCACCGAGCTGCAGGATTCCGCCGGCAATGTGGGTCATATAGAGCGCGAGCATCTCGTACGGAGGAGTCGCAGTGGGCCGCAAAATGGGGCGTGCGGTGGCATAAAGCCACGTCGAGGCGACAAGGAATCGCTGGATGGCCTCCCATTTAGGATGCCCCGTTATGAGGAGGAACGAACCAGCGGCCAGCCATGCCAGACACTGTAACAGGCCGACGAACACGAACACGACCGTCCTCCATAACGGTACGGCGTTGTCCACCTCCAACGCTGCCTCTGGGATGTTCGTCTCGTCTGCCAATGCGAGTCCCTCGGCTTCATGTAAGGACATGTACCGGTTGAACGGGCTCTTGACCGCGTCGACAAGTTTCTGGACGACTTTTGGAAGGGGTGGGTGAACGAAAGACAGGCATATACACAAGACTAGGATGCTTGGTACCAATGCAGCCCAAGAGCCACGAATGCATGGATCTTGGACGTCGACGAAGTGGGAATCGCCACACAATTTCATGGTGGTTGGTAAGGGACGCGATGCCTGCCGGAAGGAGGCGGTATTATACGGACTCGGTGCCGAGGTGACCGTCAGTTGAAGACGACTTAAAATTGGAATTCGAAAGGCACGAAACGGCTAACTAATCCCGCTGAGGCCATCAACGGGACATGTGCACATCATTCAACCCAAATACATTCTAATACATTATACAACTGATAAGACTGTACACGGGAGTTGAACAAGGTCGAACAGCCCCGAGATACGCCCAGAACGAAAATCAAACGCGGCTCGGTTCTATAAAAAGGAAGTTGGTGGCGGTGCAAAGGAGCGACACACGGGGGGGAAAAATGCGACTCCAATGGAGCCCTTCGACATTTTGGACACTCAGTGCGGAGTGAATCTCATATCATGTGGCGAATCTAAAACGTAAAAAGTCCAAAAATATTTTCTCATCAAGATGGGTGGGCAATTTAATTTAAACGTCGTGTACGCGGAACGCGGCAAACGTTGACGGCGCGAGAGCAGAGCCAAATGAATCCTACTACTGTCTACCGAGTCACTGACGCCTTACATGTGAATTATTTGCTTATCCATCTGTTCCACCCATTTCGGGAGCGCTACGTCTTTCGCTCCATATGGGAATTTTGATTCAGCTGGTTCTGGACCTGGTTAGTTGATGCGCGGGCTCGCATTTTGTGCTTCCTGTCAACAACAAATCATCTCGGTAAACTGACCTGTTGTTGTATGTGTGAGCTCTTGGCTGCGAGCATGAACGCCCATACACGTTTGAAGACAATGTATTTTATTCTTACGCTTATTCACCCTAGCCAGGCTCTATGAGAGAGTATCATATATTATCAGACTCGACCCACCAGCTATCTCACACGCTCTTCAGGTGCAGTCTGATGAAGACTATTTCACCCATTTTAGGGGCGATACCCTCCCGCTCTGTATGTTGAAGTTCATGGACATGCTATCCGAGGGTATAGCCATTGTTGCCCTCATGCCACCAAGGAGATCCCGAGTATTATATCTACACATAAATTGTAATAAATTATACACGCCAGACACGCACCGGCTATATATCATCGTACACCCCAGACACGCACCGCTATCCGCTATCTCCCACCCCGCATCATCCCCACCCCCACCCTCGCATCTCCTTCCTCCAAATCCATATTAGGATCAGTCCCTATAGGCTCGTCCCCGCACCCACAGTCGTACGTATCGTCCAGGTGCGCGCAGTCGAACGGCTCCTTCTGGAGGCGCTCGTTGACGACGTTGTGCACGGAACATAACCTGGGCGGCATCAAAATTGGGTTGGAGATTCATGACAGAAGAGGAACGAACCAGAGGGAGGCAGAACGCCGGGATGAGGTCTTGGGGGCGTTAGAAGCGGGAAACAGCAAGAAGTAAGAAAATGTACCTGCGGCGGATACTTTTTCAGAAGCATCTGGAACTCGGTCGCGCACTCCCCACACGGATAGAGCCGTGAGAGCAGGTGGAAATACGAGCTCAGGGCGTCGCGTTCGTCCTGCGTCGGTTTCTACCAAGATGTGAGACGACAAAGTGACGCAGGCGCAAGAGGGCAAATGACCTCGGGATACCGAAGCGTCATCGTGTGCCTGCGGTCGTTTTAATTCCAGATATAAACATCCGTTCGAATTAGACTTACAATAACTTCCAAGTTGCGCGTCCGAGAGCAGCCCTGTGACGGCTTAACATCGGAGGATTTCATCGCAGATATATGACACTGACTTTGCGGTCGCGTTCCCCAACTTGGGCATAATGACACCTCCGTCCGCGCCCAGGATCGGGGGGTTCGCCTTCGAACGGAGGGACTGCTCCATGCCATCTTCACCCAAGAGATCTCCGGATAACGGGTCAATGTACGCCCGCGACTGGGGGTGTAGGAACGTTATGGTTGTGAGCAGAAGCTAGCAATGCCAGGAATTGAGTTTCAATTCGCGCGCCACGGAAGCAGAGTGGCGGCTCACTAGAGCGACGACTATCACAACAAACGATTTTGCGAAACGGGATATCATTTGAGTGGGCACCGCCGGCAGTGCGAAGAGGAGAGAGGTAAGTATAGAGCTATTGCAAGCGTCGACGTTGTGGGTGAGGTCAAAACGCCTTTGTCACGTGCCTCAAGCTCTTCTCTCCAGAACAACCCTGGGCCAGAACGGTCTCAGACCGTTCTGGGAGTCAGACCAGTGCTGGTCGTCACCAACTCGGTCGTCCTGCTCGTCGATCCGTGCGCGTGAATCCCTAAACAATATTCAGGGACGTTTATAGGCTCGAATCCAGCCCTGTCTATGAAGGCAAGCCTGTCGTGTCTATGGTAAACCTGTCGATAGACACGACAGGCTTGCCTTCATAGACAGACTCAGTCACTGGTCTGGCACATTTATTGGTTTGGACGGTATGCAGATCAATTGAAATTGAATCTGTAGGCTGTTGTGGTTGAACTGTTGATTAATGGGCGTTAAGCACGTCTAGAAAACTGCTGGTCCCCGGCACCACAATGCTGTCAGTTCCTCGACTCTTACCACGGTTTCCAAACACTCGTAGCGCGGCATTGCAAGACATAGCCTCGATTCGGCTGCGTCGATTCCTAGGGATTTTTCTAGAGCAGATGGCATGTCGTCGAAAATAAGAACCCGAGGTAAAACAAGATGAAGAAGTTGCTATGTGCTATAGCACCCCACATCGCGGGTTGTGATGATTTACCGAGCGCAACCGGTGCATGATACATATGCATTCACGCCCGAGTTGACGATCTTCGCTGCTTTTCACCATGTCTGTTGCTGTATTCGACGCCAATGTTACGCTCGGTAAGGTCTTTTGCACACAATCGAGCTGGTGTTTCTCTGACACTTAAAAGGTGCCTTGGAGATCGGTGTCCTGATATCATATACTCTCTTCGACCTCGCAACGCTCCAGGCATACATTTACTTCGACCGGTTTTCAGAAGATCCTCGACGACTGAAATGTCTGGTATGTCTGTGAAAAACTAGCAGATAATATGAATATAAATTTTCGCAGGTTGCCTTTGTGTAGTTCGTGCACACGCGTCCGGTCCGTCTAAGGGTCTCACCGACCGTTTCCAGGTGTTGCGAGCTGGCACATGCAATCTGTGTCGGGCACGCAATATACACCACTACCATTTCGTATTACGGGGAGCCTGGGCGCCTCGTCCTTCCTCCCCACCCAAGCGAGCAAACTGTCTGCTGTTTAGACTCTTCGTACTATTTAAGCTTGGTGTGGTTGTGACAACTGATGATGTGCTGCAGTGCGTTGCGCTGTAACTCGGGTTGCATGCAATATATGAGAATTTGAATGCGCCCGCCAAACCCGCCCGCCAAACCTAAATGCAGCCTCTCCTCAGCTTGGGAGCTGGTGTGTGTGTATGTGTAAATGTACTCACTGTTTAACCGCCCTGCCCTGAAGTCAAACCCCGCCTCTTCTCAGCAAGGAGCTGGTGATGTTATGAATGCACTCACTGTTGACTCCTAACCCCACCCCATCCTGCCCTGAAGTCAAACCCGACGCCGCCTCTTCTCAGCAACGAGCTGGTGGTATGGATGGATGTACTCACTGTTTGGTTCGACCCTTCGCTCCGGCCTGCCCTATCAAACCCCGACGCAGCCTCTTCTCAGCATGGGGAACTGATGATGTGTATGAATCTACTCACTGTTTAATGTCCCGACGCCCGCCCCGCCCCGCAGCCAAACCTAGACGCCGCCTCATCTCAGCAAGGAGCTGGTGATATGTAGGAATGAATGTACGCACCATTTAATGCACCCAGAGGGATTCGAACCCTCAGTCACCTATAGTGATTCGGCAAATCCCATTTGGATGACACATTATCCGCTAGGCCATGATGGCACGGAAACATATGGATTGCGAGACTAGGAGTCCGCCCAGGACCACCAAGAACTAGTTGGTGGCGGAGGGTGAATGTGGCGGTGCAATATGGAATTTTAATAGGCGGTGAGTGCCCTTGAGCACCCTCCCGTGCTCCCGGCGCCTCGACTTCAACATGAACCTGTGGATAGGATAATGTTAATGCTGTTCCAGAGGCCCCCGGTGCCCAATATAGAGGATAAGATAAAGTGACGCGTCTCTCAGCGCGCTTCAGGCTCCGGCTAGGGAACAGTGAACCGTGAATCCTTCCAAGATTGCTGTTTTGGGCTTGAAATATTTGATCCGTGTACCCCAGATGGGGATATCAAACGCGCGCTGTGGGAAGTGCCTACAGACAATATGTAGCAAAAATCCGAGAAATTTTCGCTGAACAAAAGGTTGATTCTCCACTCATTTATTTTTTCGTGAGTCTCGGTCTTGGTCGAGTTCGGCGCTTGAACGTCCAGCGCGGGGAAAAAAACGCCAAGGCCCATGGCAAACAGGACCAACTTCCCGGCACGCGGTCCGACGATTTTCTCTTTCTTGCTTGTTTCTTGCATGTTCTCGCCTTTCGATCTGCCAGCTGGGATCCTATTACTCGTTACAGACCAGCTGTCCTCCCAGCCGATTTCGTTCTCCATCGCAGTCTCATTGACCATCTCAAGGGCCAAAAAAAAAACTGAGAATCCCAAGAAGGCTATCGTGCTCTCGGTTTCGGAGAACCTCGCCCGCTGGAAAGCAATCGCCGCAAGATCCGTATGTGCCTGCGGGTTCAATACACCATAACCTCACCCGAATCCGACACGTCTAGAACCTGCATCTCGACCAGCAGTCGTCTGGCGCATTTCTCTTCATCGATGTTCTCAAACACATTGCACCTCCTCCAAATGCCGACGCGACCCTGCGTCCGACTCTTGACGCCGTGGTATCTGCGCTGGACGCCGCAGACGACACGCTGGTGATCGTAGACGATCTCGCCGCGCTCGACTGGCTCGGCATCTCCTCTGTACTGGACATCACGCACTTCTGTCGCGCCCTCTCCGCAGCGTGCCGCAAAGTCCGTCGCTCCTTCCCCTCCATGCACCCCGGCTCATAGCACACCTAAGGCTAACGCGACGCTGCTCACCCGGCAGCACGTCCTAACGCCGCCCACCGCGGCCCCAGTGTTGGACGACCTCTTCCGGCAGTTGCGCGAGCTGTGCACGTATCATATGGAGGTGCTGCCGCTGCGAGCGGACGCAGCGGGGCCGTCAGCGGCCAGGTGAGTCTGGTTTGATGTCGGCGCTTCCGCACCATGCTGATTCGTTTCGAGGTGGCATTACATGCGGGGCCGGACGTGCCGCCGCGCGATGGAGTCAGGCTGCTCCCGAGGAGCTCCGCACTACAGTACAAGCTTCCGGACGGAGGCGAGGTATTTCTTGAGCGAGGGACGGGCGCGGGGGTTTTGTAGTATAGACCACCTTCAAAAATACATGCGAATAAACAGCGCGAAAATTCTTGAGTCGGTGATTAATATTCCCAGCAAGCTCCCCAGCAAAAATTATCCCTGGAAATGCGACGGGAGCGTGACAAGTAGTGACATTCCGTTTTGATGTGACAACTCGGCACCGGAAAACCTGGATTGAAAAGTCGGTTCCTCGTTCTCCACCACCACCACCACCTTCTCCCTCCTCAAGACCACCGCCAAAATGGTAAGCCCTCTCGACACGCGCATCGGAGCTCCATCTACAGGGTTCATACGCTCGAATTCCACCGTCTTTTGAGCTGGATGGCAAGTTTTTCATCTGGATGCTTTGCACTGTGCTCATATTTTATTTCCTCCCAGAACCCTCCAGTAAACCAAACTTCATCGTTTGTGTTATCGACACCGAGCCCGAGGGCAATGACGTGCTCGTATGCTGGGCCCGCACACCCGTGCGGGCACTAGAGCTCCGAGGCGCAATGTCGACTAGAATCTAGTTCGCATTTGCTGATCTCGTCTCAATGACCAGCCCCCTAAGGCCAAGACCGGATCCGGCAAAAAGCCCGCCCCCGCCCCCTTCGGCGCCAGCAAGCCCACCAAGACCAAGAAGAACCCTCTCTTCGAGTCCAACCCCAAGAACTTTGGCATTGGTGCGCGAGCCGTCGCATCTCGTTTCTTTTCATCTAACACCCGTTGCAGGGCAGGACATCCAGCCCCGGACTGACCTGACCCGCTTCGTCAAGTGGCCCGAATACATCCGTCTCCAGCGCCAAAAGGTCATCCTCCACCAGCGGCTCAAGGTCCCCCCGGCAATTGCGCAGTTCTCGCACACCCTCGACAAGAACACCGCGACTCAGTTGTTCAAGCTCCTGAACAAGTACCGCCCGGAGACCAAGCTCGAGAAGAAGGGCCGCCTCGAGGCCACCGCCGCCGCCGCTGCCGAGAACAAGGACGCGTCGACCAAGGTATGTGTCTTGCAGCATTCGTAACCTCATCCGAACCTCACACGACTTCCAGGACTCGAAGAAGCCCTTGTTCGTCAAGTTCGGGCTCAACCACACCGTCGCGCTCATCGAGGCCAAGAAGGCGTCGCTCGTCGTCATCGCCCACGATGTCGACCCCATCGAGCTTGTCGTCTTCCTTCCCGCCCTTTGCCGCAAGATGGGTGTGCCCTACGTGATCGTCAAGGGCAAAGCCCGCCTCGGCACCGTCGTCCACAAGAAGACCGCCGCCGTGCTCGCCCTGCAGGATGTCAAGAGCGAGGACAACCGTGAGCTCGCCACCATCGTCAGCGCCGCCAAGGCCAACTTGTACGTCGTCCCCCTCTCTATCCGCGTTGACCACGCCGCTCATTGCCTGCAGCTCGGACAAGTACGAGGACCAGCGCCGGCAGTGGGGTGGAGGTCTCCGCGGGAACAAGTCGACGTCGATGCTGCGCAAGCGCGCAAAGGCATCCGGGCAGACCATCTCTGCTGCGACCATCGGCAAGCTATAAGTGGTCCCGACCATTGGCAAGCTGTAGGTGGACCCCGGTCGTGTCAAAAGATAGCGCTAGTCTGTCGTCGTCATGTTGTATGCTCCTCTATGCTACATATTTACATGCGTTTTGCGGTCATGTCCCGCCGTGCGGAAGATGTACGATTGAGCTTGTCAATACCAGTTTTGACGGGGTGCAGAACAGTCAAGTTGACCACAGTAGTAGTCGACGCTCAAGGATAAAAAGCCACCGGAAAATTCGTCGCGTGTCATCTGTTCCGGCGCCGGCACCGTCGCGGGTCGCTTCCTGACGCAGTGACGACAGCATCAAGGCTCACACAGCTCGCCACCTCAATGATTATCGCAAGATACTTTGGGATCTGCGGCGGTCCGCGTCCCGCTATCATCAGCCGGCACATCAGTGTCCGAGTGAAGCTCCCTTCTTCTCTTCGACAACGACCACTGTCTACTGCCGCGGCAATGCAACTTGAACCCAACAACTCAGAGGCGCTGGAATCCTACACGAATAAAGGTCCGACGCTCTCGGTCCATAGCATTGGCGCAGACTGAAATAATTCAACATTAGATGGAATCAAAGTAATCGAGCGCTTCTTCGACCTGCCTCTCGACTACGCGAACCCTTCCGGGGAGAAAATACGTGTTTTTGCGCGGAATCTCGTTCCCAAGAATAAAGCCAAGACCCTCGAGGAGGAGGGGAAATTGCCGTACTGTGAGATTTCTATTAGTATATGTACATCCAAATTGGAGCTGCTGGCTGATGAGAGGAAGTGTTGTACTTGCAAGGTAGTGTTTTTGTTGTTTTCGTTGTCGCTGTAACCCTATAGCTCGGCAGGCGGACCTGGATTTGAAATTACACTGCAAGGGAGTTCTGGAATTGCGGGTGAGGTGTGTGATTGAACGGTTCAATGGATTTATAAATTCCTGATGTGCGCCAGATCCACGAGCAAGGATATCAGGTACGTAGCTCACCCCTGCCTCTTTTTTTTTTGAAAAAAATTGACATTTGATTGAAGACATTATGGTTGGACCAGCGCGGAACCGGGCTGAGCACCCACATATCGCCCGAGAGCCTCCCTTCGCGTCTAGTGACGGACCAAGACAAGGCCGACTATCTCAAACACTTCCGCGCCGACAGCATCGTGAAGGACTGCGAAGAGATCCGCAAAATCCTTCTCGGCGACAAGCCGAATCCCGAGGACAGGAAGTGGACGGTCATGGGGCAGAGCTTCGGCGGGTTCTGCGCCATCACCTATCTATCGCTCTTTCCGTCGGGGTTGAAGGAGGTCTTTTTGACGGGAGGGCTTGCTCCGCTTGTCGACAGTCCTGATCGCGTTTATGCGTCGTTGATTCGTATGTCTCCGCTTGAAGTTCTATCCTTGGACGTACTGAGTTCAATACTTACTCCAGCCATTTTGCGGAAGCGTAATGAGATATACTACCGCAAGTATCCCCAGGACGTCAAGCGTGTAAGCATCCCATTAAATGCATTATTAAAATCCAACCAAATCCGCAGGTCCGAGATATCCTCTCTTATTTGGAAGGGAACAAGGTTGTACTTCCTAATGGCGGTCAACTTACAGTCAGTCGATGGCTCCAGCTCGGAATCCAGTTCGGCGCAGCCGGTAAGTGACGTGGTGATCTTTTTTCGTTCGCGCTCAATTCTGCACAGGCGGTATCGACCGTGTACATCGTAAGTGCTCGTATATCCAATGCTCTCATCTCCCCTTCCTTCCTAGAAACCGTCTTTCGTGCGACCAACGACCTCGAGTTATTCGGGAAATTGACCTTCAAAACTCTGCAATTAATCGAGGCGAAGTATTCCTTTGACGGCAACCCCATCTACGCTATACTGCACGAGCCGTTATACTGCCAAGGGTAATTCCTCGTAACCGACTCACTCTCTCGATACCCTTCTAACCGACCTCGATAATAGACATGCTCCAAAGTGGTCGGCAGCGCGAGTAGTTTCGAATCATCCTGAATTTTCCTGGGCACATGTCAAGAGTCTAACGGACACAGAGCC